TTTCAAAAACCTTAAAGACGTATCTATTCGTGACTTTAAATCCATTGGATAAGATATATATCTACCTTTGTCATTCTTTTACCATTGTGCTAAGTTGGACTCACTGTGATTTTGCGAAAGCGGAAGGATACTCGATTAACCTAGTGAACACCTGAGGGCATTCTGTGGCCAGAACCTACACCTTGACCTGAACGGTGAACTTAGCGGGTGGAGAAGATGCTTTACGGACGCTCCGATTATTGTCGACTTTTTTACAAACAACCCATGTACTGTGTATTTTAGGGCTTGCGCGAATTTATTTTATGACATGGATATGAATATACAGTTTTCACTTATATCCTCATTAGTTCGGCTTCTAAATAAGGACTCATCAAACTCTTTCGAAAATGTCTCGCTAACATTTTGATGAAAAGACATTCCATAATAGTTTTTACTATAAATACGTAAGCTGTTTGTAAATGAGAGAGATGTAGTTGAATCTAAAGTTACATTGCAAATGTATTCCGGCATACTCTACAGATTCCATATAATTCAAAGCTAACAGTTGCATAGAGCCTTATTGACGCTTACAGTACGCTCTAGTGTCTCGAGCAATTTTCCAGTTGGTATGACTCTTGTTAGCCATTTTGGGCCTTTCCTACCGATACATTTAGGACTACAACGTTAAATATGCACAAGGCTTGGCTAACTTGTAAAAGATTGATGATGACGTCGCACATTATCATTAACGTAATCCTTCTAAACTAAAGAATAATCATCTTTAGACAACGGTTTCGAGTCTTTACCTGGCCGTATTTGTAAACACGGATAGCGATAAGACAAATGTGATAGTTTAAGGCTCAGACGGGGAACAATTCCGCTCCCTAATTGTAACTAGAGGTATTGAAAATGTCGTTTCGAAGCAATCGATAGTGGGCACTACTAAAAATTAAATTATTATTAAAAGTAAAGTTATCTAAGACATTAAGTAGTCAGAAGGGTGAACAAAAAAAAAAAAGCAGATGTCTTCTAGGAGATGACCAATGTGAGGCTACGAGATCAAGCGCGAAGTTGACGCCTGCTCCAGCAGTATCTTAAGATTCTCAAAAACAACAAGTTATGGAACACCCCAGGCCAAAAGCCGTCTAAAGAAGAACCCGTCAACAACCAACTTCACTACCTTTATGTGTTCTAACGTCAGTCCCCATGATAGGTTAGTGGGTAACGTATTTGCCTGCCAACCTTAGGGACACATCGTGGTTTAGATTGGAAACCAAGCATAGACAGACAAGCTTCGTTTCGCGTTGGGAGCCAAATGGGGCGTAGTACCCAAAGCAGAGTTCTTGTAATGTTAATTAAAAATCAATGCGACAAATCATATACTAATACTAGCTTTCGCGTAACAGTAACAGAAATATAACATCCGAAAAGGAGAATTGGGTTTTAAAATGATTAGATGTGTATGCAACTTTCATTTTCGTAGCACTCATGGTCGTCGAAAAGAGACAAAGCATCGGGGAATCTTAATTATCTTAATATCCACAACTATATAGTTGAAAAATAATCCCACCCTCGCAATATTGGGGATGTCAGCTAAACGTAAAGCCAACACTCGTTAGAGTAGCCAAAAATAAATATTGGTATCTATCCATGATTGAGTTTGGCACTTAAGAGCAAACAGACCCGTAATTATCAGGTGTCTGATACGGGGTATCGGCCTATCAAACAAGTAAACGTTTCCGTCCAGACTCGAAGTTTCCCAATCACGAACTAATCTCAAATTTTGATAAAAGTGTGTACGCCTGCGATAGTTGTAACGAAAACTAATTTTTTTTTTCTTCACTTTTTAATACTGCACCGCAACCAAAACCATTTCAATATGACCTGAGCCTATAAGAGCCAAGCGGCCACATTATATTGGACGCTTTGATGACGAATAATCCTAACTATCCATCATATGGATATCGACGAACTCAACGTGCTCGGCTCCTATATAAGCAAATAATCGTGAACAAGAATTATTTTACTGAAGGTCCCTTATAGTCGTTGTACTGTTGTTATACTGAGTACCTGCAGTAATGTATACAGTCAAGCCTGCTTGGCTATAATAGATTTGTAAATCCATTATTACTTTCGTTTTTACCAAAAACTCAAAAATGTCTTTGTCCAGGCTTATCTCGAGCTGAAATAATTTCTACTTTAATAATAATTTCTAAAAACGAAGATCTAATAATTTCGAAGGCGCACTGCAAGTGTTACGTAAATCTAACAACAAGGTTATCGTTCTATTTCATGTCTTGATTCGTTTACGCATCTGCCTCAAAGAAGAACTCAACCTTAGGTCTTATTCCTGATTCGATAATCTGTTAAAAAAATTTGTCTTGCCCGTCTGTTCCCGCTTTTCTCGAGGCAAGACCGTGCAATGCTTCCAACGGGAACTTGCTTTCCGTACATGGAAACATCACAGTTCACGGAAGAAAAACGTGACGAATCGGTCATTTTGATCAACTTCTTCCAGTAAGCGTATAGCTGTACACACACAGATGTGTCACTGACCGGACTTGAATTCAAGCTGTCTAGCCACCTTGTATGTGGGGTAAATAATCAACTTGATTGCTTGTGCTGCATAGATGAAAGCGTCTGCTCCTTTGCTACAGCCCAACATTTCTATAATAAATGCATTAAAACATCAGTTCTGTTTCAAGCATTGCGTTGCCCTGCTAGCCTGCAGAATGAAGCAGCGAAATGGCCACGGCAAAATCTCTGTCGTTGATATAGGGTATTAGCCATATTGTAACAGTCCATAAAACGGCTGCATCCTGGCGTACGCTTAATCTAACCACTATTTCTCCTGCCAGCGCCCCCTGTCGGTATCTTTCAGCAGCTCGCAGTTGTTGTACATGTCGCGTATTTCTTAAAACAACAGGTTTGACCCGATCGAATGGTGACACTCGTCACCGCGATAGAAATTCTATAAAAGACTTTGTACAAACAACGTGGACGTGGATTTGTTGTTAGGACAAAGGCTGTTGATGTTTTATAATTCGGGTTACATAGAAGTCATGTGAGTCAAACTTTTAGAATTGATTGAATACTAATTAGGTGAAAAACATTTGTTATAAATTCTAATAGATTTTATCTGACTCTGTTATCAGGCCTTACGAAATGTAGATGCCTTGCTAATTTGTGCGCAGCCTTCTCCAGTTGGTTAATCAGCAAAAATGTTAACTAGAAAAACAACACTAATTTTCGATATAACCTTATCAGCATCTATCTGAAACTGCATTGACCTGTCGTTGCTAATTGTTAGATTTCAATCAGGTGTTGTTTAACGTCAACTGTGTCAGATGGCTGTACGTAGACAAGTTGAAGCGACCGAAGACTAACAGCGGCTTGTATAAACACATTTTTTTTTGTCTGCACAGTAGGAATCCTCATGTCTATAGGAAAAGAAACTAAGTGCCTGACTCGATCGAATTTTTCTTCAGCTACCCTTCACCTAAAGACACTATCTAACTGTCCGTAGAAACTTGATTATAGATATGATAGAAACTCTATCGAGTCAAATTATCGGACACAAATCATTTTGGTTATCATACTCATTTTGTGCTACATATTCTTGTTTTCTTTTTAAGAACAAAAACTGTTCTTGCCTTCAGTATGGCCAGTCGAACTTCTATTTAAGCAAACCGTCCCTTACGCTATCCTTGAGTGTCGTACTATTACCTTACATATATTTCCTTATCTCTCTCTATATTTGTTAGTAATGGTCATAGCACTAACCTTTTGATTCTTTTATTTTACTGTAGTTATATAGACATCAATCAGGTGGTTACCTTTTGCTAGACAGCGAACCACTATTTTTAGATCTATTTTTTTTCTAGCCATTCTGTGCAGGGAAAAATGTTTCATGACATCTAAATCTCCCGTAAATTCCATTAGCGTTTTGAGTTCTCCTAACGAGTGAGGCGTTCACGTAGAAACACTAAGTAATCACTGTCACGGGTTATTATCACAATTAGCGGACGCGAAAGCGAGGTAAGTGAAGAGAGATTAGCCCCGTCGGCATCGTCACCACTAAATCATCAAGTCACACCATGAACAATACCTGATGCTGTATTTGCCAGCGGTACCTGAAGGTAAGCATCATTAGCGTATAGCCTGTCAAGTCGTTACGACCTGTACCACTGCTGCCACTTGGATCAGCCTGGAACGTCAATCATGCGGTCTTTAGTAGCTCTCTTGCCACTTTTGTTTTGCGTACGAAGTGGCATTGTCGCCGCAGAATACAACTGTTTCCCAAAAAGGTACAACAGCGACTCCCTAGTATGTGTCTGCAATGACACTAATTGCGGGCTACTTGGGAAAATTCAAGCGGAGACTGGCCAAGTTGTTGTGTACCAGAGTTCGATAGCGGGTCAGCGATTTGAGAGAAGTATCGTCGAATTCGGCCATTCGTTTATGGCGAAATCTTCCGAGAATACTACTGCCGACTTGATAATTCGCGTAAATACTAATCGGACGCTTCAGCAGATCATCGGTTTTGGAGGTGCATTTACAGATGCGGCAGGCATCAATTGGATGTCTTTAAATTCACAGTTTCTTCGTGATCGTCTTATCGAATGCTACTATGGACCGCACGGCCTGGAATACAATATGGGAAGAATCCCGATGGCTGGTTGTGATTTCTCAACCAGAGACTACACATACGCCGACTTGCCAAACGACTTTGAGCTGAATAACTTTTCGCTAGCAATCGAGGATACCGACTACAAGATACCGATGATTGCCGCAGCGAATAAAATTGCCACGGAACAGGTGTATTATCTTGGCTCGCCCTGGTCGGCCCCTGGCTGGATGAAAACAAGCGGCCGCACTTACGGTGCCGGTGGTATAAAAGGGTCTCCAGGAGGCTCTTATTATAAGACATGGGCAGAGTATTTCGTCAAGTTCTATGAAGCTTATAAATCACACGGAGTCAATATTTGGGGCTTTACAGTCCAGAATGAACCAACCACAGGCTTCATGCCCTGGGGATGGCAGACAATGGCTATGAGCCCTTACACCGAGCGAGATTTCCTAAAGATGGACCTTGGACCAGCACTGTTCAATGCGACGAATAACAACATTAAGATTCTGGTGCTCGACGACAACCGGATTGTGCTTCCATGGTGGGCTAACGTCATATTCAGGGACCCTGAAGCTAGTAAATATGCTGCAGGTCTTGGAGTTCATTGGTATCTTGATGGGTTCCGAAGTGCGAACGTACTGGACGAGATACGCAAGACACATTCAGACAAATTCATCATCAACACTGAAGCTTGCGAAGGGTTTCAGCTGCTGGCAAACGCTGTTATGCTAGGTAAGAAACGGACGCGAACATAGGACCAGATTCCCAAGGTATTTCGTTCGCATTTAGACGATTCGAGTAACATAGTAATCTGCTCTTCGCATGAATTTGATTGACTTGTTTGTGTCCGACTTTTTGAAGTTAAACTTTATAAAGAGAAAATAAAACTGCAATGAATTACAATGTTATGTATTAGCGTATATCCACATTTACAGTGGTACGTAGACATGATAGGGACAACGCTAGTGTGAAAAAAAGCTTGTTAATATATAGTAATGCCAAGTTGACCTCATAGGCCGAGCGATCGATTTCATTCGATAAAAATATCAGGAAGCCCGTAGACTTGGTTTGCGATCAATTTTCGATTTATCCCTAAGCGTTAAACTTATAGTTCTCTTAATTAACGTCGTTACAGGTCGGTGGGAGAGGGCTGAATCGTATGCGATGAGTATCCTTGATGACTTAAGGCATTCCGTTTCTGGTTGGATTGACTGGAACCTGTATCTTGATCTCACGGGGGGGCCTAATTGGGTGAAAAATTTTGTTGATGCCCCCATCATTGTGGACAGAGACAAGCAGGCATTTTACAAGCAGCCCATGTATTACGCTCTTGCGCACTTTACCAAATTCATCCCAAGAGGATCGGTGCGTATATTCCGTATTCCGTTTAGCCTTAGCTGGGTAAATAAAATTGACAGTTCTATTCTACGACGCACAAGATGCTTTGTCGAAAATACTCGATTTGGTGTCAGCTAACTTAACAGAGAGGAACTATTATAGCTGTGACAACTTAGATGCTTTTCTTATAGTTTATATATAGATCGGCAAAATGCACGAAGGTCTATGCTCTGCATGTGCTGGAGTTCTAAAATAAGGATGGGCTGTTTCGGTAGTTGAAAGATAATAAAGATGCTTTTGTGGCATTACACTGCTGTACTACTCGTCTAGGCGGTACTAGTTCGAATAATTGTATCACCACTCACTAGCGCATTGCAGAGACAGACCTTCATGAACAAATGCCCAACAATGAGAACACAAGCTAGTTGTTCATAGAGACATGACTTTGAAGACTGGAATCATCCGCAATAACGACTTTTATATCGATAGCGTAGAGTAGTTTCGTGAAGGCAATCTTGTTTGCTAGCATCGTATTGGCGTGTCTATTTTTCGATTCCATCATTTTTGGCATCCATTGCATCAAGGTCATCTTTGTTAGTTTGTGCATTTATAAGTACACGTATGTATGTGGAACACATTCGTTTTCCTATAATAATTTCTCTGAATATATGGATTAGTTGAAAATTTGATCGGCTTTTAAGGTCCTAAACAGGACTAAATTCGAATCGCTTCCAGATTTCTCATCTTGTCTAGTAGACGTAAAGTATTACTAAATGGGTATTGTTCAAACAATTGTAGTCCTTGATGCCAAAGATGCACATAAAACTCACTCTTAATTGTGTTTTTTTCCTTTTCAGTATCGACTGGACGATGAGCTGAAAACAAACGTCAGAACGTTATCAGGAGTAGCATTGCTACGTCCTGATGAACTCAAGGTAGCCGTATTTCTGAATACAGGCAGCAGTAACAATACTGTAGAGGTTAACGATGCCGACGGGCGGCAATTTAGTTTCAAAATCGGACCCAGAAGTATTGCAACCGTTATTTGGTGAGAAGATTGTCACAGCAACTGCCCACAATTAATCAAGATTTAAATATATGTCAAGAGGACCATCAGTTAACATGTATACTGAGATAAATGTACTCTAATAAAGGATTAAGCTACTACAGCGACCACCTGGATACTTTTCTATTGAAAATGGAAGAAAGTTATAATCGTCTGCATTTAATTGAACTGGGCTCATGACCCGCGAAGCCAAGTTAGACGTTCAGAGAGCTTTTAGATTAAATTGGCTATAAGAGTTTGTTTTTCAACGCCATACGTTTCTTCTTAGACACAGATCAGCTTTCGCTCGTAGAATGCAGAATGTGTACGTGCACGCTGAAGACATAGCCTTTAGAAATTCAATTTTATGAAGATCTGCATTTTACCAAAGCGCTGGATCCTACCTAGAACAAGAACAAGTAAACCTTAGAGCACAAAAGAGAAAACAGAATGCCAAACCGCCAGCTCTTAAGAAAAACGAGATAAGAGAAACTTTCCGCCAAAGCTTTTTTCGGTGGCCATTATCCCACCTTTGTAGTTTTCGAATTTACTCCTTCTACCGGCGCAAGATGTACTTCACGTTGTTGACTTATCGAAGTGATATGCTTGAGAGAAGTAACGTTGAGTCTATTTTGATGGCGCTAACTGTTGTTACATTTTCCTAGACTGTGATTTATATATTACGGTACGTGTAAGTAAGTAAGTAAACTGTGATGTATTGAACCATAAGCGATGAGAAGGTAAACGTACTTAATGTGCATAATACAATGTAAGTATAACAACGTGTAGTGGGTAGGTATACCGTAAAGCTCGAAATGTCTGTTCTAGTATATTTACGATTTATATCTATATGCGTATATTTACGCATAGGAAACAACGAGGTATTCAAAGGCTCAGAAGGACGTGGAGAACAAGTTAAATTGACGCCAAGATTTTTTGTATGTTATTTCTATTCCTGAGAAACATTGCCACTTACGTAAACGACGCGTGCAGCTGTACAGATCATTTTTTTTGTTTAAGCTAGGCTCGCGTCTGTCTGAAAGGCAAAATGCAGATCAACAGATTTGAGCGTTCGCAGCCCTATTAACATCGAAACATCTTAAGAATGGTCAAGGGAGAAAATTGTTCATAATAAGGTTATGACCATTTGGTAACTAACTAGAAATTTCTAGAAAATAGGTTTCTAACATTTTGGCGCGAACATGTAATATCAAGATACAGATGTACTTAATTTATCGCCGGTAGTTTGTAAAAAGCGAATCGTTAGGGCATGGATTTGTATGGACGAAACGTGTCGGGAAATGTTACCATGCCAGCTTGTACATATATATATATATTTGTATATAGAAGCTGGTTTAATGCGGTCTTACAAAACAAGCCGTATATGTTATGGTCATTCTCTAAGTAGATGCGATCATCTGTATAGAAGAATATTTCTTCATTTTGGTCCTGGTAATATTCTGACCAGACGCTATTCTGTCGTCTCCATCTTTATAAATGTCGTTTGTTTCAATGTTTACGCACGTCGTGTGACAAACTTCAAAAACAAACAGGTTATTATAGAAATAGTTGGTCACTATTCGATTATACCTTTATTATAAATGCAATAATAGCTTTTATCCCCATTGTAAACACATTAAAATGAAACGCATTTAATAGCAAGGTATGCGCGGAGCAAAGTTATCGTAACTAGATTTTTATCATATCGGAATTTATATGCTGTTTGTTTAATAATTTAAGTATATTGGTTTAGCATTTAAACGTTAATATCTTTATGTTAAGTTAATATTTTTCTCAAATGGTTCATTCTCTACTAAATAGTTCATTTGGTTTTGTGCTATTTTTCTTCACCGTAATGTGAAATAATGAAAACAATTTAGCTCTTATTATAAAACTAAATAAATGTTTAAATAATAAGACCGCTAATGATTCGTATGGAAACATTCTCCAGTTTATTTCTCATGTAGTTCGTTGAAATAATAACTGATTTCTAACTAATATATAATTGAATGTTTTCGGTTTTGTGCCTACCATGTTATTGAAGTCAAGCGCGCGCATTTTGAGTGGCAAGCCTTTCAATTACTACACTCTTCGTTGTCTTCTTCTGTTCTGGTGGCAACTTCCAGTCACACGATTAATTAAGATTGGATACGTCCTGTTTAAACTACTTATTATGAAACAACAATGCTTTTACTCTATAATGTTAAGTAGGTCATGTGCGAGAGCGGTAAACTCCGAAAAGCATTACGTCCTTCAGTGCGAGAACGTAAAAGTGTATTTAATCGCCAGTTTAGTTGTCGGAGGATTTATTTATTTAACTTATACCTATATAGTTTTATTGTGCTGTGTATGCCAGATAAAAATTTAATTGTACTCAGAGTTTTTTTTTCCGGTGAATCCGTTCATGATCATGAGCTAACCACTCGTTTGTTCTTCGAATCTCGCCACCGCACCGCCAACTTGCTATAATATAGTTTCCACTATGTTATGAAGCTTCCAAGTTACTTGGTTTCTTGCCATACTCGTAGTTTCTTCAAAAAAATTGCTTAGTACTGCCGTAAGCTTTTTAACGAAAAACAACACAACCAAAAATTCACGCTTCTTAGGATACGGAAAAATGAGAGCGCTGCGGCTTGGAACCCAACACTAAAAAATAATTTTCTAAATAAAATACATATACATGCAAAATACATATGCTCTTGAACATTTAGGGTATCCATAGGGTATCTGTTTCACCCATGATCTACCATACGTATTCCTGCTGATGATGTTCGGCCGTCTCAGGAAGGTTTTGCTTCCATTAGCGATGCTTTTCTGACTATCTTCCCATAAATAGAATATACGATATATAGGCTACGTGAGTAAATTTTTCGAAAAAAAAAATTAAACAAGATGGCCTCCTAAAGTTTAAATGGTGTTTTTTGCAAAGAACCTTTCTCCTTGTTTGTTTGGTACCTGTTAAAAAACATGTTCGAGTTCAGTCGATTTATAATAGCCGTAGTAAATAATACATACAATCGAAAATGATTAAACTGGGTTGATTTAAAACAGATGTGGTGCATAATACATGTAATAATAATATATGTACACTAAGGATATCTGAAGGTGGAGCTTAGGGTTGTTGAACCAAAAGCAAATGTAGCATTTTGTGTAAGACTTGTTATTGGTGCCCATCAATAAGTAAAAGTAAATATGTTGTAACTTTTCATAATTCATCAGATTGTTAAATCGTTTAATATGACTAGATAAAATAAACTGAAACAAAGATCAGATTTTTATTTAAGTTGAAAAAAAATTTGTTCTGAGTTGATGTCCATCAAACGATCCGACTTAACGTCTAGAAAACTGAGCGTAGGCCGGCAATTAAGTTATGTTGAAAATATCATTTGCTGTTTCTAACTTTTGTAGCGTATAAAGATAAACGCATAATGTGCAAGTAATTTCCTATTCTAATTCACGATAATTTTAGTGAACGGACAACGACGACAAAACTTCGGAAGTTTCAAGGGAGACCGGCCATTTTACGTTTTATGGCGAGAATCAACAAAAGAACGTCGTTGATCCCACCGGGACAAAACTGTACAATGAGAATTGGGCCAATTAACGGCTGAAAGCAGAATGTAGTTTCCGGAAGTTCCTGGAAAGCATATACACTACACGTAATACCGACTGAGGAATATAAATACTTTTTTTATTGACAAGGAAACTGAGGTAATGCATGTACAATAGTGATCTTTAACTTATTATAGTTATTAGCTATCAAGCATTGAAATAAACATGGGCTGAACAATCTATTGCCTCGCATTGCTGGTGAAATTGTCCGTACTGATAAGTGCTAATAGGAACGTTCGATATAATTTTGGCAAAAAGGAGCTGTCATACTGCGCAGTTATTGAAATTCTTCAACAAGGGATATAGGGGATTAGAATGATGATTGGGTCCAGCTTTGTAGACGATGGTAATCGTAATCGTTGCCGTTCGTGAAATTCCATTTTTAACTTATATTCTCAGCTTTTTGCATCGACAAGAGACGCCAGGATCAAAGAAGAATTAATTTTTTTATATGAAGTACGTGTCTTTGAGGCCCAAGCTCATTAAAGTAGAACGTTTTTAATCAGAAAAAAATTCCATGGAAATCAAAGAAGCTTCCCACCTGCATAGAACAATTGTCTATCAGCCAACAGTGAAGGGATGCAGCTAGCAAAAATGGTGAAAGTTCACGTTATAGCCTAATAAAAATCCTGGGGTCGTTATTTCAAGCCCAGTGAAGAAGTATAAAAATAGTTTATATAAGTTAAAATAAAAATAGTTTATATAAGAAAATTAACACATCTCTCGTTTTTTAAGTTGTTTTGAAAATACGCCCTGTCTTGTTTTAGATGAGATGCATTGGTTTGGGGTCTTCAGATAAACAATTAAAGGTTCCTTCCGAATACATACATTTATAAATTCATGTGCTGTGTCTAATAAGCGTAGGTGGGTCAAGAGACACTTGAATCTGATAGTCTTGAAACGTGACAATAAAGATTTAGTTGAAGTTTTGCTGCACAGACTTAGTGCACTAGGCATTTATTTATAGACGGTATCACTTCAAAAAAAGTAAGTAGCTTCTTGAATTTTCGATTCGTTGCGAGCAGGAACGCGCTTTAATTTTTTTCCGCCGCGAACTCATAGTGACCTGTCAGTATTATTTTCAGTGTATAGAAGAAAAACTAAATTGGAACCTTTAGAACTTGTTTATTGCCAAATGTTTAAAAGGCAGTAACATAGACTGCGAACATCGTGCGGCTAGACGCGCCTTTTTTTGAAAAATATATGTAATCTAGGGACGATCCGTGCATTAAAATTCTACATTAGCACATAGCCTTCTTACGGTCGTACATAGTCTGTCTACCACCGTCTGCAGCAGGTTATAGCGTAAGTTCCCGGCGTTTCCATTACCTCGATAGAATTTGCTTGCTCTTGGATGTCTTGTAATATAGACGTACTTTAACATTCATGACAATGATTGTGATCTGAAGCTGGCAAATACTTGTACGATATGCAAAGTTCCGGCTTGCGAAAGCCATAAGCGAAAGAAATCCAGCTAAGGTTTACTTAGAAAGTTTACATAGGGTGATCCACGTAA